AATGTGCTCTCTGTGAAAGCCTGAGAGAATGTTTTCTCTCCATGTGACTCTCCTTAGGCACACTCTACATCATCGATCACTTTCCTCTTTGGCCCCATAGTCTCCTTGATCAGAAAATTTGGGACACTACTGAGTTACATGATGTTACAGTACAAGTTTTCATATGTCCTGAGTCTTAATAGACCTTGGAAGGCTAGGGCCAAAATGTTGGCTTTCCTTGCGGTCCTCCTTTTTCTCTAATTTTGGTCTGCAAACTTAGGTTGTTAACCCTCCAAAAGAGAAGTTTGTTATTACCACACAACCTAGGCTGCAAAGCCTAACCTCACTATCTGTCTGAATATCAAACATCTTAGGCATGACATGGAACAGGTATTTTTCATCAAGTACTGATATGTTGAACTTTAAGTCCCTACAGAATATGATGAAAAAACATTTAAAAATTAGAATATATTTTAAAAATAGGCATAAAGAATCATATAATTCTTGTTTACGGGGCTGGGGAGGTGGCTCAGTGGAATAAGCGCTTCCCTGGCAAGTGCAAGGGCCTGAGTTCAATCCCCAGTTCTGCAGAAAAATAAAATAAAGTTGTTTTTTTTTAAAAAAAATTCTTATGTTTACACATAAATCCAGAAATCTAACCACATACAACCTTGAAGTAGGACAGTCCCACAACATTCCTTCTCTTGTCTCCTGCCCTCATTCACCACCCCCTTCTTTTTGAACAACCATCTACCCAAGAGGCAGCACAGCAGCAAATGGCATGTCATGACAAGCAGCCGTATTCAGAAGACCAGAATGACAGGCACTCCAAGCATGAACCTACTATTACAAACTGCCATCTTCAGTGCAGCTGCTTAGTTCACAGGTGTCAGTATATATAGTTAGGATGAGAATCTTTCCAATTAACTGCTACATTCAAAAATCTTCTGGAGATTCTCAAGATCATTGCCTTGCTCATCTTCTACATATAACTGCATGGCTTGTCAATGTCATGTTTCCTAGCTCTTCTCCTTTCCCTCTCTAGTTAGTCCTCAAGTTCTTGCTTTCCTTTTACTTGTATTATACCTTTCTATTTGTATTTCTTCTTTTGAGTTCTTATACTAGAGAAACTACAATATTTACACGTGTGTCTTCATTCAGGTTTTTTTTTTTTTTTAAATTTTATTTATTTATTTATTTAATGTGTGTGTGTGTGTGTGTGTGTGTGTGGCCAGCTCAGCCCACCAGGGGGAGGGGCTGGCTGGCATGTGGTGCTGGGGGATTGAACCGTGGTCCCTGTGCTTTGCTAAGCTTGTTCTAAGTAGGTGCTTTAGACCACTGAGCCATCTCACCAGCCCTCATTCAGGTTTTTAAAAAAATAATTTATAGGCTTTTTTTGTTGTTGTTTTGTGTGTGTGTGTGGTACCTGGGATTGAACTCAGGACCTTGCACCTGCCAGGCAGGTACTTATGCCAATGAGCTATCTTCCTGGCTTTTTTCTTTTAATTAACTAATTCTTTTGCGGAACCAGGGATTGAACTCAGGCCCTTGCGCTTATTCTACTGGTCTATCTCCCTGGCCCCTTTTCTTTTAATTTATGGTGAGAACTTTATTTTGGGTCTCATTCAGTTTTATAAGTCCAAGGACCAGGACAGTACTTGTTACATAATAAGTGCTTGGCAATTATTTCTCTCTGACATTATGTTTAAACATAAGCTCCACAAGGATAACTCTGCTGTGCTCACTATACAATCACCAGACCTCACATCAGCACTTGACGTAAGGAACATGCTCAATAAGCGTTTAGGACAGTAAGCATCACAAATCTATAGAAGGATAGTTTTCCTAACACAGTCCAAAAATTACTCTAGGATACAGAATAATTTCTATTATGCTTCTCTCCCTTTCACATAACCATTCTTTCTACTACAGATGCTGTCTCTAGGCATCATCCCTTATCCTCGCAGACAAGTCACCTACCTTCTCAGGGAAGCGCTTATTCCACTGAGCCATCTCCCCGGCCACCTACCTTCTCAGACACAGGCTCTGCACAGGAAAGGGCCACTTGGTAATATTTATCTCTTGAGTCCAGAATAGGTCAGTGGCTCAGGACATGTTTGTTGAAGACTGATGACACAGAAGCCATCCAAAGACTTTAATTTTTTCTATACTTTTGTGATTTGTTCATTATCTTCACTGTTTCTATAGTATTTGAATGTCCCTAACATTACTCCTTTAGTTATTTGTTTACAAAACAAACTATCACTGTTGTATACAGAAACCAACTATGATTACATTTATCATAACATGAAGGTAACCAGGAAGATATACACAACTTTCAATTGAATTTGTGCGTGGATGTGTGTCGGACCAGGGATTGAGACCAGGGAATAGTTAGCTGGGTGTGATGGTGTATGTCTGTAGTCGCCAGTGTTCAGGAGACTCCAGCAGGAGGCTCTTTGTGAGTTTGAGGCCAGACTGGGCTACATAGAAAATTCATGCCCAGCATCAACTACAGTGAGGAACTGCTTCAAAAACCAAAACCCCAGGGCCGGGGAGATGGCTCAGTAGAATAAGCGCTTTCCTGGCAAGTGCATGGGCCTGAGTTCAATCCCTGGTCCGCCAAAAAACAACAACAACAACAAAACCCGAGAATGCTGAGCTAAATCCTAGGCCCTCTGTTGTATTGTTTTGTAGTAAAGTCTTGTTAAATTGCTCAGGTTGTCTTTGAACTTTCAATCCTGCATAAGCTTCTAGAGTAGGTGGGATTACAGTCATGTTCCACCTAAGGACTTTTTAAACTTTTGGCTTAAACTTTTAATCTTAACTAAATACAGTTTGCCATTAAGAGCCCTGAGTCTAAAATTTGGAAATTAAAAAAAAGACTTGGAAATTAAAGAAATGCTAAGGAAACACTAGAATCAAATAAATGTCATCTCACTATAAAGAAGTGAAAGAACAGCCAGCCAAATAGCTCAGCGGATTCAAGTGCCTGCAAGCAGGTGCAGGGGACTGGGGTTCCCCCAGGGCGCGCTGAGACCGCAGTTGAGACTGAGCCTGGTAGCACGCGTCCCAGCTCTTGGGTGGCTGTAAACAGGTGGATCACTACGAGTCTATCTGATCTAGTAGTGAGACCTGAACACCCTGCAGACCTTGTCCTAAAATTAAAAAAAAAAAAAGAACTGAGAGAGTTCAAAAGGGAACTACTTTCCTCATATACCATCCAATGTCGGCTTCATGTACCATCTAGTATCACCTCAAATAACAAGAAATCTCTGAGCAAGACTCCAGGTTAACCTTCTTGGTGCTAAATAAGGCCAGATCCTACAATTAGACAAAACGACTCAAATTTCAGCCATCACACACTGGTGTGTGATCTTGGGCAAAAACTTTGAACTTTCTTTTTGCATCTTGCTTTCCTGTACCTGTAAAATAAGGATAATGAGGCTTACGTCGCAGGATAGTTGTATAAAAAGTTTAGCGCAGTAACAATAAATGTTATCACTCTTCTTCCAAGCAAAAATAAGGCACGGAATGAAGAAGTGAGTTGTGCAGTCTCAGAGACCCCAGTACAAAGCCCACAGCCGCCTCTCTCAAGATCTGTATTCCCTACTTAACAATCAGGTTTTTTTCTGCTTACCTTCCCGCTCCCTGCTGGGCCCATGACCAGCTGCGCATACCGAGGCATGTTGGCTCTACAAATTCTCAGCAGCCACACTTCCTTTCGCCTGAGCGCGACGCCCATTGCATTCTGGGAATACGAAGGATGAACCAATCGCAACCCAAGTTCCTTTCAGGCGTCCTGTTCTGCCACACCCCTAAGTACGGAAAGTTCCTCGAGCCAAATCAAGTGAGACGCTGGTTGAATAAACGACCGGGCGGTGGGAAGGATTTGCGCGTGCGCAAACGAAGTCGCCAGCAATCCGCCGTTGATGTAAAGGACTGAGGCTGGTTGCCTAGGTGATAGCGGTCAACCTCAACGGTTCTCGGCCTGGTGCTTTGGTCCTAGATTTGCGTACTCATGCTAGACTTGTATGTTGACACTCAAGATACACAATTTGCTCAGGGTCTAGAATACTGAGGTGGAAGGCACATTTTGTTTTAGCGGGCATGTATTTTTGCTTCCCCTGAAATGTCTCTTGCATAAAGATCCTTCCACCGTGCAGACGTGCAGTCAGCCGAAGGTCGCCCGCCCCTCCCCCACCCGCCGCTCCGGGGTCGTGGATCTGCCCGCCTCGCTCTCCCGAAGCGGCTCGGGCAGTGTCCGGCGTCGCCCCTCTTCGCCCCGCAGCCCCCCGCCTGACGCACGCGTGCTGACGGGGGAGAGCAGCGAGTGCTTCTCGCGCACACAGCTCGCGGTCGGGGCGCCGGGAAGATGCCGGGCCAGGGTCCTGGGTCCCACTGGACCGAGAGCAGCTCTTTCGCGGAGCCGTCCGCAGTGGCTGGGGACGAGGGCGGCCGCGGAGGCGGGTGAGGCCGGGGCCCCTGCGGGTGGGAGC